GGGATGGGTGGGAATTGGCCCTGAAAAGCCCCCATGGAGAGTGGTCAACTAACCTATGTATGTATACATGTATGTATGTATTATATAGCAGATAGTGAAGAGAATTACTGAGAAGATCTTAGGAGTGAAATGGTTATTAAATACTAAGTAATTGATTCAAGAAACTAGTTTTACTTACAGAAGCAAAGTCATATCTCCGTTCTCTGTCCACCATGTCTAGCAATGGATAGGCTCTTCTCACATCTTCAACATTAGATACCTTAGTAAATCCATATCTAGTTTTTTGCAAGTTAATGAGAGTACACTAAATTCACCTCCTTGATTACATAGTTTTGTTTGGATTTGTTGAATGATGTTAACAACTCCTAGTTTCCATTACACTAGTATCCTCGGCCAGGTTGTTCAAAGCTGGATTAAGATAACCCAGGGTTAGCGTGAAATTTGATTGCAGATCTGAAAGCTTTGGAAGAAAACTCAGTTTAATCTCTATGTCTGTAATTTCATGAGTGGATGATCTAAAAGAATAGAGAGCATTTTCCTAAAAAGGCTTTTTTGAACATAGAAATAAAGAAACATGTATTAAATTTTAACCCTAGGTTAGCATTTATCGGCCTTCGAACAACTGGGCCCTGGTATTCATTATGCTAAGTTTGCATGCAAACCAAATAGCTCACATTGCTAATTAAGCTCATCTTTGTTTCTGAAGATAAGAGGTTTGACTAACAAATACAGGGGAATTGGGATTATGGAGCCTTGGTCTGCATTCGATACATAATAGAATTTTTTATTTATTTTTAACACAGATATATTGACCTTATTTATCTTCCAGCTCAGAAGATCTTTAGCACCATGCCAAAGATGCTTTGTAAAAGGATACTCTTGAAGAATTTCTTTTACTCTTCCTTGACCAGACACTAAAACATGTTTGTTGTGTAGCCAGTCAAACATCTTTAGGGGTGTATGTGATAAAATCATCTGCTCTTCTCGTACCTTAAAGAAAATTTCCTTTACATGACCATGCACTGGTAAAGAGCAATATAGAGACACACCCTAAAGGACAAAGCAACCCCTCTCAAATGGTTAAATTACTACCCCTACCCCACTCCCCCTCGTCTAACATCCCACAAAATTATGCACCAAGCCTCTCCACCTTATCATGTATTTTAATAACTTACCTCAAAGCCAATCCTATCTGAAAGATGTTCCGCCAATTCCTTTTCCCTTTCAAGACCACCATTTGTCAAGAAAACTGTGGGGACCTCCGACTGTTGAAGCAATCCCAGGGCTTCTTTTGCCCCTGCGATAGAGTTCCGGCCCCTGACAAGAACTCCGTCGATGTCCAACAAAACCCCAAAAGTCTGTACCGAAGTTTTAGGTGAAGGCCTTGGAGTAGAATTTTTACAGAAGAAACGACCCCCGCATATCGGAGGTACGGATAATTTTGGAGCGAAGGACTGCAGGAGGTGACGAGATGTCCCGCACAAGTTGCGTGAAAGAGACATCTACGGTGCTGATGACGCTAAATTAAAAGTGAAATCTTCACCTTAAGGGTTTAAACTTCCTAATTGAATTAAACAATCTATGAATCTTTTCTTTCAAACTCCAAAGGTCTTCGTCATCATACTAAAAACACATAGTGGAAATGCCGGTAAAACGGGAAATATTTTTTAGATTATGAAACACTGTACATTGTTCCTGACTGAAACGGGATCCCGACAACGTAAAAGCTACGGAATGATGGGAAATGTTCTCCCTTAACCCTTCAAGTCGATTGTAAGTCGGAAAGTCGAAGATATGTCGGTGGTACCGAAAAACTCCGATCTTTTTACGAACGTATCGCGAAATAGGAATCGCGTGGCTCAAGTCGCCATCTTGGCCACGTTCTTACGATAGATTTTAAAATCTTCCGGTACTTTCGTTTTAACTGGCGCAACTGAGTCAGTTTTCACATTTTTCGATTTGAAGATGAGCACTGTAGATTCCTACGGGCCTGCATCTCAAACGTTGACTTTTTTAGACACTGAAGAAGCTGATTTCGGTGCGGATACACAAGGAAGCGAGTACGAATTTCACGATTTTACAGTACCTTCGCAAACACAAACCCAATCTCAAGCTTCACAACCTGAACCGAGCCAACCTTTGGTCAATGGCAACGTCGCAGAAAAAAAGGAAGATCTAGCTAACGGCCCAGCAACGGGAAACGATGAAGCTAAAGCAGATGGTACTGTTTCTAAGGTTAGCAACTCTTTAGGGGAGCTTAACTTCGAAGAAGACGAGGACGAGACCTTTTACTCGAAAGATCTTCCAGCCTACGCTTGCAGGTGCGTTCAACTTTGAAATCAGTTATTAAGTTAACTGTTTAACGGTTCCATACTGATGTTTTCTTCAGCATCTAAATTTTTTTTCCTTTATTGATGAAGTGAATCCTCGAATGGTTTTGAAGAAAATGGGTTCCAAAATTTTTACATGGTTTACAAGCCTTCTCCAAGATCTACACTACATGTCCGGCATGAAGCTAGATTCAGCTGTTTCTTGCCCGATCCCCGATCTACATAAAAATCATGTTGTTTTACTCGGAAATATTTCAAAACAAATTCCTCTCACGTTTTCTTTTAGGGTAAAATTAATTTCTCTTTTATCTTAAGAAATCAAGCTTCTTCGTATCACTTATTTTGCTCAACGAAATAAGTTTTAATTGAAGAATTGCAGGTTAAAATTGAAGGTAAAAAAATGATCCCACTGTTACACAACTACACTTTGTAATATGAATTAGGATGCAGTTCAAAAGGAGCATGTTTTAATTATTGTTTGGGGCAAAATTATACAGCTGTAAAGTCTCATGAGGAAATGCAATAATCTCTTTTTGACCCTTAAGCTCCCAAAATGTAAACTTGTCTTCCCTAGAAGATCCATACATGTTCAGCAACAGGTAGTGAGAATTTTCAAACTTACCATGTAGATGTTATCTCGATCAAACACCAAATTCTCATAATAATTTATAAGGAAAAGTGTTGCAGCTAGAAGGAAGAACTAAAAATCAGATCTTGGGAGATGAAGGGTGAAGGGCTCGACACTAATGGTAGCCCACTAGCTACAGACTAGTAGAAATTCAGTTTTGGCCAGTGGTTTTCAATTTCCATTAGCCAGTTTGGCTAGTAAACAGACTGAAATTGTTGTAACATCTAAAAAACATCTAAGATGTCACTAGCCACTTGGCTAGTAAGTTGAAAAGTTAGTGTGGAGCCCTACCCCTGTTTCTAATTAAGTCCAGCGAGATATGTCAGTAGGAGGTTAACATACAGCTGTGCCAGACCAAACATATATTCATAAATATATTTTTTTAAACTTAGTCTAACTTCTACTTGATTGTTTGTTTGTTAACCTAAAGACTTTTTTTAGTTGTGTGCTATAGTTATAATGCATTTCAATTGGGAATTGTAAAACCAAATCAAAAATATTTCATCAGCCAATCAGAGAAAAGAGCTAATGGGAATAAAAGTGCGAATGTACTAACTGCTCTTGGCATAGGAATGGTCAAGTGACAAAGTCACTTAAATCTGATTGGTGGAGAAATGTGTGAGTTTTCTTGTCGAATGAAAGCAATCTAACATTACCATAACAACCAAATTGGAAACTGTTCAACTAGTACCATCAGGGTGATCATGATCCAGATTGTTATAATTATTTTATTCCTAGATTAGCATGTCAAAGAAATCCAACTTAACTGTAATAATGATCAATTCTGCCTGCAGGTATTGTGGAGTTCATGACCCAGCATCTGTTGTGCAGTGCATTCAGTGTAAGAAGTGGTTCTGTAATGGGAGAGGAAACACAGCTGGCAGGTTTGTGTACCAAATTTGAATTCAGTAATGGTTTTCTGAAGGACATTTCCACTGAGGAAATGAGTTATGCGTACTAATTTGGAACAATGCTAGGGTCTTAGAAAAGGGTTGTCTTTAAGGTGAAGTCGCCCACACTTTGAGAGGTAATCTTGGCGTTTGAAGCATGAAGCAACCAGGAGAATGTTACTTTCCTGGAAGGGATGCAAGTCCAATGTAGCTTACGCACTTGTCTTCCCCCTGATGAATTTGCCCTTCCCAATTTTTTGTAAAAGGCAAAATAATTGATTGTGACCTTCTACTCATTGACCAGGCTTTAAAAGCGAGACCTTGGTGACCTTTTCTCTTGGGCTATTTGTTTGCAAAATGAACTATTTACCTTAAGCACCTCCATATTTAAATATGTAATACTGTATTCTGCCGGAAGACTTGGTACTTTTAGTTCAAATTTTAGTTCAAAGCTAGGCAAGGTTCAAGTTCCCATGCCCTGCCTGTAGATTGCCTGGAGGGGGGAAGGAGATGTTGAAGCTTTGAATTGAGTCCAGGGAGGAGCTTAGAATTAATCTGTGCACACCCTGGGTGGAAGAAGGCACTGTGAGTGTCAAGTATCTTTTCAAAATACAGTCAGCAATGCTTTAACAAGGGGTTGGACTTGAATATGGAGTTATGAAATTAGGGTGGTCTGCATTTCCTTTGCAGTCACATTGTAAACCACCTTGTAAGAGCCAAGCACAAAGAGGTGACACTTCACAAAGATGGTCCTTTAGGAGAGACCATTTTGGAGTGCTACAATTGCGGTTGCCGTAATGTGTTCTTGTTGGGATTTATTCCTGCCAAGGCTGATTCAGTTGTGGTGTTACTGTGCAGGTTAGTTGCTTTATGAAGCCTCTTTTGTGGATGGTTATCTAGGAATATTTTCACCTGTATACACTAAGAATTGTTTCCTGAATATTCTAACATGAAACTTGGACTTACTTGAGAACACATCAGCATACCAATAAGTGTGAGATGAGTAAGGAAGGAGTGCTGAATACAGTTGGTTCAACTCTTACTCCATTTTCTCACGAAGAAAATTATCATTTTTGGCATCATTATTTGACTCTAGTAACTTTCAAGTACAAAGTTGCAGCAAGGTTTCTCTTTCTTACTCTTGCTACTTTTGCACCTTTCTTTAGACAACCCTGTGCAACACAGAGTAACTCCAAGGACATGAACTGGTATGTATAATAATTATTCTCATAAACAAAACTGATCATGAACTTAATCATTGTCCTCCTACTGCTCTACATGTGCCTTTGGTATTTTCACTTTTTTGTTGGTGTTTTATTGCATTCAACCAGTGATGTAAAATTTTGTGATTTACAGTAAACTATTGTTGAGTATAGTAAAGTTTGGGTTTTAATGTGGAAACTATTTAATTGAACAGTTGTGTGTTTTTGGGTATCTGGTAATAGTAATGATGTAAATAAACTATTACCTTTTTCATGCTTAGGGACCAAGCACAGTGGCAGCCTCTGATTAATGATAGGTGCTTCTTGTCCTGGCTTGTCAAAGTTCCACCTGATGAGGATCAGCTGCGAGCCAGACAGGTAGATATTTATGTTTGAGCTCTTAACGAGGAAGACAACTCAGCCAGTTCTACCAGTCCCTTATTTTCCTGATACAATGTATGTGTCCTCAAAAATTAATTACATGTTAAGTTTTAAAATGTAGAGATTTGATGTAGATTTTGGTGAAAAGACTAATTTATGTGTTGATTAATGCATCAAATCATGGATCAATCATTTAGAGCAGTGATGACTTTTTGGCAACTGACGCTTGGCAGTTTTGCTCTAAAATACAGGGAAATGTATCTTGGTCACAGAAGAATTTCAAAATTTTCCAGACAAGCATACCTCTGAACCACCAGGGGAAAGAGGAGGGGGTGGGGGCAAGGATCTTTGAACAGGGCTTGCACTGAGATGCTGTACATGACCTTAGTGAAACCCCCAAGTAAAACACACTTTGACCAGAAAGATTGTCCACAGGTTAATGAACATGGCACTCACTTGACATCTTTGCTCACCACAGATCTCAGCACAGCAGATTAACAAGCTTGAAGAATTGTGGAAGGTGTGTACTCTACATATTTCAAGTGATTTTTGAATTTGCACTGTTCCAATGTGTTTGAATCATTACCACCTTTTTGATGAGTGTAGCAGAGGATTGATTTTTGTGCTTTAGGGATTGGGCTCTGTTTTGAGGGGTTTTAAATGTGGGTCATGGTTGTTTTTGTAGGATAATCCCGAAGCCAAGTTGGAAGATTTGGATAAACCAGGAGTTGACGATGAACCACAACAAGTTCTTCTCAGGTTTGTAGCTCTGTAATTATAAAGCACAAAAAAAATTATGATTTCTTCTTTATCCACTTCTGGTTCTTTAACCCATCTTTTCCGTTATCGATTAAGATGTTCACCATTCCAATTTTGTGTTTTGTTCAGGTATGAGGATGCTTACCAGTATCAAAACATCTTTGGCCCACTGGTTAAACTGGAAGCAGATTATGACAAGAAGCTGAAAGAGTCTCAGGTATGGTTAACCTGACCCTTTCCACCCTAACATCTGTAAATAATAATAATAATAACTTTTACTTCTATAGCGCTCTTATCCTATGTTCAAGGCGCTTTACAACACTGTATGGGGGACTTTACCAGACTGC